GGCCAGGAGAGCGTGGATGCGCGATGTTCGAAGAAGTAGCCATAGACCCGAGCACCCTGGGCGGCCAGTCGCCCAGCCAGTTGAATCACAGGGCACACGACATTGTGGTCACCCACCATATCACTCATGGCCTCCCTCAGGCGTGCTGGGTCTTCAGGGTGCAGCCAGTCTGTATAATGCAGGACCACAGCCTCGGCAGCCAGGTCACTCACCTGGGGGACCCCGACCCGCACCCCGGCCAGGAACTGGGCCCGGCTGATGAGAGACTCGTTGTCTTTGCTGAAGCCTGGGGCCCCGTAAACCAGAAAATAGGAGCCCTCATCCTTCACCACACCCACCAGCACCTAGGGGAACAGGATGAAGGAATGGGGTGGGGGTGGAGGCAGACACAGACAGACAGGCAGACAGAAACAGATAGACAAAGAGTCAGAGAGATGGACAGTTACAGACCCAGAACCACGGAGGTAGAGAGTATGAGATTGGGGGATGGAGAGGAGAAAAATATACCCACATTTTTTTCCTCTCTGTCCCACTGGCCACCCTGGGATTGGACCCTCAGGGAAGAGAAGCCTTTGGAAGTGGGTCTTGAGGAGCCCCCATAGCTGGGTCCCCAGGGGTAGGGTGGGTAGGTAGGTAGGTGGGAGAACAGGCATAGAGGAACCAGCTCTACCCGCTCCAGCCACTAGTCACCTGCAGGCCGTGGAAATCTCCAGTGTTGATGAGGGCCTCCGGGGTATCACTGAGGAAGTCTCCATCTACCACAGGCACAAAAGAGAAGCGGAAGACACTTTCCTGAGGCAGCACATGCCACTCGTGGTCTACCAGGGCCTGAGCTGGCCGTGTCCGCAGGCAGGCGACCAACTCTGTGTCATTGCTGCCAGCCCCACCTAGGGGGCAGCCCACGAGTCCAGCCAGTAGTGTGGCCCTGCGGCGGGCCTCTCCCATGCCCACCGTAGCCCAAGGCGAATTGGGTGCACCGCTTTGCAGCACAGCCCTGTGGAACAGGCCCCGGCTGGGTGGGGACAGCAGGTGCATGCCCACAGAGGCGGCACCAGCACTTTCCCCAAACAGAGTCACTGACATTGGGTCCCCCCCGAAGGCTGCCACATTTTCCCGCACCCATTGCAGGGCCAGCCTCTGATCCAGGAGACCCACATTGCCTGGTGCCTCCCGGCTCCCTGGTAGGGCCAGGAAGCCAAAGGCTCCCACCCGGTAGTTCATGGATACCAGCACAGTCCCCTCTGCCTGGGCCAGGAATCGGCCATCATACACATCCAGCGACGTGGCCCCACTGTAGAAGCCACCCCCATAGATCCAGACGAGGACAGGAGTGGGGGTCCTAGGCCGAGGGTACGGTGTCCACACGTTGAGGTAGAGGCAGTCCTCACTCAGCTCACGGTTTGGGTTCCACATCTCGGTGCCCACAAAGCCAGGGTACAAGGTGTCCACGTATTGGTAGCAGACACTTCGGAAGGCTGTGGCATCTAGCACCCCTGGCCAGGGTTGCTTGGGCTCCGGTGGCAGAAAGCGACGGGGGCCCACGGGTGGCTCTGCGAAGGGGATGCCCAGAAAAGCAGAGACAGGGCCCCCAGGGGCCATTAGGCGGATGCCCCGAAGCCGGCCCCCACGCACCATCACCAGCAGCTCTGGGTCCTCCGAGTGCTCAGCCTCTGCCCCTCCTCCCAGGAGGAAGAGGAGGAGGAGGAGAAGTGGGAACGGTGGGAAGAGAGTATGCAGGGGACACCATGGGGGCCTCATGGCTGCCAAGGCAGGCAGATGGCTGCCAAGGCAGGCAGGCGGCTGTTAGGAGAAAGAAAGGCAGAGGGTGAAGGCCTGAGGCTGCCAGGAGGAGATTAGGTAACACTCTTGCCCAGGGGTTATCGCTAAGCTGCAGAGGGGGTGGGGCAGATTGGCAAAGAGGAGGAGAGAAATGGAGGGAAGGAGACAGACAAGCAGAGACAAGGACACAGGCAGGCAGACAGTGAGAAGCAGGAGGAGGATAGAGATCAGGCCCATTCACACCCAGACAGACAGATGAAAGGAACTGAGATGAGATCTGCCAAGCATACCCTCCCCGACCCACAGAGGACCCACCGCCCTCACCTCCTTCCCCCAGCTGGGTGGGCTGGATTGGGCCCAGTGTGAGCCTTGTGGGCACCCGCACCAGAGGCTGCAGTCCACGTACAGGCCACCGGACAGGGGTGGAGCCCTCGATGATGGGAGGTGCCAATGGGGGCGCGTGCGTGCGTGCGGTGGCTGCGGTGGCGTGAAGGCACAGCTTCTCCTGCGTTGGCCAGGGCTGGGGCCCTGGAGGGTGGGTTGGACATTCAGGATGTGGGAGCCCCAGGTCCTGGGGCACCCCAAATCCTGCCTACTCCACACCCTGCCCCGCCAAGCCCGCCTATCCTACGGTCTGGCACAGCGTGTTGGTACCCGTGGGTGCCCATCAGTTGGGCATCCCTGTCGCCTAGCCTTGGTGAACGGGTTCGCCAGCCTTGGACCCCAGGATTCGTTCCTCATTGGTCTGATGATGCTGTGCACACTGCTGCCAGAGGGGGGCAGTAGAGACCGTAAAATAACGGCGCTCCCCGCCCCAAGTAAAGGAGCAGAAAACTTGGGGCGGGGGTCTGAGGGGTGTAGGGCATTACGGAGGAGTCTGAAGGGCGAATCGGGACGCCTGTGTTCTCCAAGCTCCGGAGATCCCCGGCTGCAGGGGGCGGGGGCGCTATTTTGGGGCCGCAGCTGCTGTGGTTCCGGCATCTCCAGCCAAGGGATCAAAATTCCCCTGGTCGGAACTCCCCCCTTCTCGCGGCGGTCACCCCTCTCCCAGCCCCCGCCGCCCTGAGCTGGGGTGGTGGTGGTGGTGGTGGTGGGGTTGAGATTATCTAGGAAACCCGAGTGGGGCTAATTATAACTCGGGGCTTCCGCTGAGCCTCCCCTTCCCCCAAAATAGAGACGGAGTCCCCGCGGGAGGGGGATGCCTGGGCCAGGCAGGGGGCTTCGCCCGGCGCTTCGCAAGGGCGCCGGGGTCGCGGGATCGGCGGGGTGGGGGTGGGGGATGGCAGCCGGGCGCCGGGAACCTGCGCGGCCTGGGTTCCGCCCTAAGCAGGGGGCGTCTTCCAGTGGCCTCAGACTTGAGGACTAACGGGGTACTGGGCGCTCGGGGCGGGGGGGTCCCCAGAGGAAGTCGGGAGCGGCCAGCCCGGCGGGGTGCCGGCTCCCGCACCGGCGACCGTACGTCTTCGGCGGCGAGCTCCGAGAGAAGGCGGAGTGTGGCGCGGCGGTGGAGGGGCGTCTCTGGGCAGGCCCGGGGGCGTCCGGATCAGGGGCCCGGATCCCGCCGGGAAGGCCCCGGGTCCCACTCGCCGAAGGGGCCGCGGGCCGGGGAGGGTCCGGGAGACTCACCTGAGGCGGCCGAGCCGGGCCGGGAGCGGGAGGCGGCCGACGTTCCCCGCGCAGGCTGAGCCGACTCTGACAGCCGCCGCCTCCGGCCCCCCGCACACACCCCTCCGGCCCGCACCGCGCCCCCGCCCACTGTCTCCGCCCCCGCCACTCCCCGCCGCCGGGGCCGCCGCCTCTCCTCCCCCTCGGAGCGGGGACCGGAGACCCTGCGGCCGGCCGGACGCCGGTGACCGCCGCCCGCCGACAGACGGACAGACACGCGGCGACAGACCGACCCAAAGCCCCGAGGCGGTGGCGCAAACGCCCACGGGGACAGAAAGCGCAGGCGGACGTGAGACCGTCACGGCCTCACGCAGTGACCGCCAGACAAACGCAGGGACAGACACTCACAGACGGACACCCGGGACACGGCGGGTGGCAGCTCCGTCCGGGGCTGGGGACCCAGTAAATCAGCATCCCGGCCACGACCCAGCAGGGTGGCCTGCGGGCCCGGCATGTGAGAGCGTGGCTGAGGACCCCCCAGAGGACCAGGCGGCCCCCTCAGAGGACCAGGCGGCCCCCCAGAGGACCATGTGACCCCCAGAGGACCAGGCGCCCCCCCAGAGGACCATGTGACCCCCAGAGGACCAGGCAGCCCCCCCAGAGGACCAGGCGGCCCCCCAGAGGACCATGTGATCCCCAGAGGACCAGGCAGCCCCCCCCCAGAGGACCAGGCGGCCCCCCAGAGGACCATGTGACCCCCAGAGGACCAGGTGCCCCCCCAGAGGACCAGGCGGTCCCCCAGAGGACCAGGCGGCCCCCAGAGGACCAGGCGGCCCCCCCAGAGGACCAGGCGGCCCCCCAGAGGACCAGGCGGCCCCCAGAGGACCAGGCGGCCCCCCCAGAGGACCAGGCGGCCCCCCAGAGGACCAGGCGCCCCTTAGAGGACCAGGCGGGCCCCCCGGAGGACCAGGCGGCCCCCAGGAGGACCAGGCGGCCCCCCAGAGGACCAGGCGGTACCCCAGGAGGACCAGGCGGCTCCCAGGAGGACCAGGCGGCCCCCCAGAGGACCAGGCGGCCCCCCAGGAGGACCAGGCGGCCCCCCCAGAGGACCATGTGACCCTCAGAGGACCATGTGACCCCCAGAGGACCAGGCGTTCCCCCAGAGGATCATGTGATCCCCAGAGGACCAGGCGGCTTTCCCCCCCCCCCCCCCAGAGGACCAGGCGGCCCCCCAGAGGACCAGGTAGCCCTGGTGGAGAGAAGGTTATAGGGGACATTCTTGGGCACCACAGTGGAAATGAAGATGTGGACATCAGATCACAAGTGGAAATGAAGGGGACCCCCATGATGGAGAGGAGGGGGGACGCACAAGTGGAAATGAAGGGGACCCCCATGAAGGAGAGGGGGGGGACGCACAGTGGAAATGAAGGGGACCCCCATGATGGAGAGGAGGGGGGACGCACAAGTGGAAATGAAGGGGACCCCCATGAAGAAGAGGGGGGGACGCACAGTGGAAATGAAGGGGACCCCCATGAAGGAGAGGGGGGGACGCACAGTGGAAATGAAGGGGACCCCCATGATGGAGAGGAGGGGGGACGCACTCCACCGCAGTGGAAGCTTCGGGAACCCCTGGGGTGGGTTTGCGCCGGCTCCCCGGCGGGTGACCTCGGACATTCCTCCCCGGGGTCGGCTAAGGGCATGACATCACCGGGCCAGCCTCCCATTGGCTGCCGCAGCCGCAGGTGGGAGCGGCCAGGCCGGGCGCCCCCCGGCTGCTCTGTGAGCGGCCGGAGCCGCCGCCCCGCCCCGCCCTCTAGGGGGTCGCCCGTGGGAAAGTGCGGCCCCGGCGGCGGTGGCGTCTCACGCTCGAGGTGAGGGCGGAAACGTGTGAGGCGGCGCCCGCGTGACTGCGTCGCGCGAGGCTGCCCTGTTCCCTCGGGGTGGCCAGCTCCCGGGAACGGGCGTGCGTGCGCGCGGCGGTGCGGGGCCCGCGTGGAGCGGCGGGCGCGCGCGCATGCTCATTACACTGCCGGGAGCCCCGCAGCGTCCGGGCCCCGCGTCTGCCCCGGGGAGGGGCCGGATGCACCGGGCCGGGGTCTCGCGAGTGTCGTGGGACCCACCCGAATCCAGAGACGTGCTTTTCCCCGGCTGCGCGGTCCCCAGGGGACCGGTTTCCGCAAGCCCGGGATCCTCGGGGAGTCCAGTCTGTTCTCCGCTTCAAGGCGTCGGCCGCCAGGTGGCGCGGAAGACAGCCGCTCGGGCCTCGGAGACTGGGGTGGGATGCGGAGATGAACCCCTCATCCTATCTTCCCACCGCGCCTGGCTTTCTGAACCCCTTTATTCAGTCACTCCGAACCCCTTGCAAGGACGCCGAGGTTCCCTGTAGTCGGCCTTCAGCGTCCTGGATGAGGGCTCTCTAGTGGTTATCATGTCCCCTGTCATTAGGGCTGTGGGTGGGGATAAGAAAAATGGACAGTTGGTGTAGCTGCAGGAGAAAAGGATGTGAGACAGGTTTCCCAGCGTGGTAATTATGAACTATTAGAATGATAACAATCAACTATTAATGAACGAGCAGAGGCATGCTCCAGGCCCAAGGCTGTGGAGGTTTTTGACCTGAAAAGGTCCTGACAGTGATGAGGGCTTGCCTCCCTGTCATTCTCCAAAAAGGGCTGTGCCATACAAGCACCTCACCCGACTTTTATAATCAAAGTCCCTAGGCCTGTACCACGAAGATAGGGGAGGCAGGGAGGGACAGCTTCTAGCCCAGGGTTATCAGGAACTAGTGGACCTTAGATAATTTCGAAGATGAAAGGACGGGGCATGTCCTAGGAGCCCGCCCAGCAGAGACTGCTTCAGAGAGGTCAGTGTTGAACATAGCCTGGACCTGCCATTGGAATCAAGGACAGGACACACATGGTGGGCTGCAATCTCCCAGGGAGACAGGTCCTATATTTATGTGGGTGATGGTAACTGGATTTAGTCAGAAAAGGTGTCCAGATGTGTTTGCGGGGGGCTGGAGTGGAGAGCAAGGACAAGAGCAGTTCCTGCCTACTTAGGGATGGCTTCAGAGAGGCAATATCTGTGAGGGATCTGTGGGAGGTAAGAAAGAGCAAGGCAGGTTGTGGAGCCTTCTGAAGCCAGTCAGAACTATTCCTTCCAGGGGTGGGGTAGAGGTGGGCACTATAGAAAGTCAGCCAGCGGGAGAGGGAAGGGGAAGTGGAGTTTCCAGACATGCTGGAGTCTCTGGGCAGGAAGAGGATGCAGCCATTTATTTCAGTATCCACTCTCCAGGCCTGGGGAGATGGGAAGAAGGGAAGGCAAGCCCAGAAGGGGGTATGGGGGGCTGTGGGAGTGTGGGTGGGTTGGAATCTGAGGCGGTATCCTACTCCTGTACCCCTCATGTACTTCCCAGACTCTGGGTAAAAGAGGGGTCAGTTGAATGTTCAGATGAATCTGCAAGACTGCATGGGGTTCCAGGGCATGCAGCCCTGTGCCTGTGAGGTAGGTGTTGCAGGAGGCCAGGGCCCTACAGCTGCAAGCAGCTCTGGGAGATGTGCCCATGGGCCACGGTGTCTCCTCTGCCTGCAGTTTGTCCTGGGATTTTTGTGAGGATGGAGGACACCATGCAGATTGTGTTTCCATTTCAGAGAGTTAGAAAATTTTTTTAAATGTATATTTATTTTTTAAACAGTGATAAGATATACCTTTATTTACTTTGTTGAGTTAAAGGGTTATAAAAATTATTGCTAAAGTAGATATCAGCTGAAACCGGTTTTGCTCAGTGGATAGAACGTCCGCCTGCGGGCTGGGGGGTCCCAGGTTGGATTTCAGTCAAGGGCATGTACCTTGGTTGCGGGCACATCCCCGGTAGGGGGTGTGCAAGAGGCAGCTGGTCTATGTTTCTCTCTCATTGACATTTCTAGCTCTCTATCTCTCTCCCTTCCTCTCTGTAAAAAATCAATAAAATATATTAAAAAAAAAGACTCTCTTCTATCTCTCTATATATGTGTAATATGCAAATCCACCAGTGAAATGACAATTGCTATGACACACATTAACCACCAGGGGGCAGACGCTCAACCCAGTAGCTGCCCCCAAGCCACAGGACCTGCTGGCCAACCTCTTTGTCCCTCTCCCTGTGGTCCCTCCTGGCAGGCTCCAATTGCCTGATGGGGAACAGGGAACCAGGAGTGAGTGGAGGCACCAGGCCAAGGTGGGTGTGAGTAAGCAGGGCCCCAATCACACCGTCACAAAGAGTGGTTGGCTGGTGGCAGCTGGCAGCCGGGATCAGCCCTGATTGCAGGCCAGGCCTAGAGATCCTACCTATGCACTAATTTCGTGTGCTGGGCCTCTAGTTTTTAATAAACAACTACATGGTAAACTTATGACTTTCTCCCCTGGATTTTACCTGGAAGTGGACTTTCAAATCTTTTATTTAAAAGAGGACAGGTTTGGCACTTTTATACTGATGTCACCAAATATTTCTTGGAATCTCAGGAAGATTCATATTTTTCACAGCTGTTATAGTATGCGCTGGAACTCCCTTTAAGCCAGCCTCAGATTTCTCCAGTTAATTTTTTGAAAATTAATTTATGTAACAATCTCATTCATGTTGGTCTCTAATACCATTCTCTCATCACTGTCTCTGCAAGAATGTTGTGAGCCTTGCTTACATGGAAAATGAAATTCAGTTCACAGACATTTTCTTTTTTTTATTGATTTTTTAATATATTTTTATTGATTTTTTACAGAGAGGAAGAGAGAGAGATAGAGAGTTAGAAACATCAATGAGAAAGAAACATCGATCAGCTGCCTCCTGCATACCCCCCACTGGGGATATGCCCGAGACCAAGGTACATGCCCTTGACCGGAATCCAGCCTGGGACCTTTCAGTCCGCAGGCCGACGCTCTATCCACTGAGCCAAACCGGTTTTGGCCACAGACATTTTCAAAACACTTGTCCAGTGTTTCCACAAATACTTGAATTATATCTTCAATGCCAAGTTCACTGTCTGAAAAATCCACACAGAAGACAAAATATAACATTGCATAAATGTCTGTAAATCAGTTTGTTGTCAGCTCCTCCAATTACTAATTATACTTCCAGAAAATTGCAAACTTTTTTATCTCTCTTAGATACCAAATGGAATATCTTCCTGATGATTTGCTGCTTGGCTATCTTCTCTGCAAGGCTGGTAGAATTTGGAGAGCTGTGGCTTTATGTGGCTGTTGAAGATGAGGATTGCTTTGATCATGGCTGAGCTGGGTGGGCCAGGTGAGCGCTGAGGGCCAGGGCTGGGGTGGGCTATCAGCTTCGCCTCAAGATCTCACTGTGATCCTTCCCCTCAGAGGGTTTTTAAATTTCAGGGGACCACCCAAGAGAGCCAGATAAAGGGTGCAGGTGTCAGGGCTTTGGAGTAGACTGGAGGTCCTGATTCCTGGATTCTCTCGTTCTCAGTGAGACCTCTGGGAAGTCACTACTTGTCTGGGCCTCAGCTTCACCATGTGTAAAATGGTGCATTGGACTTGAGTGTTTGTCGGAATCATGGGGGCCATGTAGAGGGACTGATCCGTTCGGTGTTGGGTGGAGTCCTTAAGTCTGCATTTTTTAGCAACTCATCAGGGCAGTTCCATGAGGATGCTGTGAGGACCACATGAGGAGAAATGCTGGATTAGGTATCCCTACAATCAGTCTAGACTAACCTCCTGAGGACTGACAGACTGTGTGGGTCATCAGGAAGTGCTGTGGACAGTCAGTGAGTACAAGAACTAATAGGGACAACTCTGGTCATGAAGAGAGATGGACAAGGATTTGAGCTTGTTCTTGAAAATGGATAGAACTTCCAGGAATAATTCCTCTTTTTACCTTGAGCCTCTCCACAACCCTAATCAACACAGGACCCTCACCTGTCTAGCCATGATACCTTTCCCTATGTAGTTCAACATAGTAATCTCCCCAGCATCCTCTGTGATCCTACCCTCCACAGCCGTCACTGCAGGGATATCCTTGATTTTTCCACTTCTTCGTTTACCATGCTATTTATCCCAGAATTAATATTGATTCTACCACCAGTTCTACCAATTCAGGGAACACTCCTACTTCCCTTGCATGTCTGTCACTCACTTTTGCCACCACAGGGAATCCCTACCCCCCCCCCCCCCTATTTTATTTTTTCCCATTTTTTTATTAAGGTATTACATGTGTACATATTTATTAGTCCTTGCCCCACCTCTGCTAACAAAAAGGATTCTCATCTCCTCTGTTCATTGGTTAGGATTCAGTTCAGCTATGTGATACAGAAACCCAAACAATAATGGCTTGAATGAAATATAATGGAATATATTTTTTTCTTACATAAAAGAAACCTAGAAGTAGGCCATGTAAGATTGATATCAGGATGCCCTGGAGGCCAGGGACCAGGCTCCTTTACAGAGAATTTTGTTGCCTACCCATCACGTAGCCTCAACTTAATAGTGTAATGTAGTTGCTAGAGCATCAGCTGTAACATCTGGATTCCAGCCAGCAGGAAGAAGGAAGGGCTGAAGAAGGGCCTTGCTCCTCCCTTTAAAGACATATTTGGAAACCATACACACAACCCTTCAGTTATATCTCACCGGACAGAACCTAGTTCTAAGGTTGTAATTGGCTATGCAGGAGGTTCAGAGGTGTAGTTTTTGTACACTTCCTGGATGACGGTGTACTCCTCTAAAATTTTACTGTCCTAATACTAAGGAAGAAGAGAGAGTAGATACTGGGGGCAGCCATTGTCTGAGGCCACTGTCCCAACCCCTATTAAATGGGGCTGTTGACCTGCAGAGTTGGGGAGCCTCTCTCCACGTCTTCTTGTGACCTCTTCTGAAGATTGGCATAAAATTTATACTTAACCTAAGTTATGTAATTTCACATGATTCTTCCTTGGATCCATCCATCCATCCATCCATCCATCCATCTTGTTTGTACCTTTTTGCTCTTTTGCTTGTTTTGAGCATTTTACACAAATCTCCGGATAGTCTAATTTTACTTTCACAATACTGTTAACTATTTAGCTAGTTTACAGTCTTTTCCAATGCAGTTCATAGGGCATCCTTCTGCTTATTTTTGCTTCCTTTCTAGCTGGGGGTAGGGTAGAGTGGGTTTCATATCCAGTGCTCCAGATGGATTACAGGCATTGGTACCTTTCTCAGGTTGATATCTGTCCATAACTATAATGGTGCCAAAGGCTAAAGCAAGCAGCAAAGTAGAGGTTCCTTGGGTAAATCTGGCTTTCATTCCAAGGAGACCAAGCATCACACACAAGAGGGGTGTAGAGTTGGGGAGAGCTTGCCTGGGATATCCCCACCTTGACTGGGGACAGTGCAAGCTTACTGCAAGGTTGGCCCCATGGCTGATAGTCCTGTGGACAGCAGGAGCCCCAGATCAATGTCTACAACATCAGAAACACTAGAGGGGGTTGGTGAGTAGCTCAGACTCAGTGTTACTTACATGTTTGTGTTTCCTGGGGATTTGTTTGCCAGGCACAGGCCTGAACACTTTGCTAAAAAAAAAAAAAAAAAAACCACATACAATATAATTCCTGATTACAACATTCCAAGGAGGCACACCCTATTATCCTTACAATTGAACCATCAGGAAATTGAAACTGACATTCAGAGAGGTTAAGTATTTGCTTACTTTTACTAGCTAACTAGTGGAGGCCCTGGACTTTGGATGAGAATTCTGACTTGTTCTGGGGTTGGTGTGCCTCAGAGCCACTTACCTTTTCTCTGACTTCCAGAAAATGAACTCCTAGAGTCCAAGAAAAGAAAAGGGGTGGGGCAGGTACCTACATGAGTTTCCTGGGACAGCTTCTTACCTGATTCCCACTCTCCCTTTCCCCCCTATTTTCTCCCTCCCTTTCTCTCTGTCTCTCTCAGGCCTCAGTCAAGGATCTGGTCTGTCAGACCTTCCAGCCATCTTGGACCTGAAAATAGGTCTGGGTTATAGGTACCTGGGTATTGCTCCAGCATTCTGAAGGGGGAAGGCAAGTGAACGATACCCAACTCTGAGGGAGAGGAAAGGCAGGTAATGGTTTCTGCAGTTTTCAGGGAACTTTTCTCGTCTCCACCTGGGACCTCAAGTCTCAGCTCACTACCATACTCGGATGGCACTTCTGACAGCAGGATGGAGCCCTTTTCAGCCAGGCCAGGGCCTGAGGGTGGGAGATGCCCAGCCTCCACCATGATGAGAGGAAGTTAGCACCCACTGAGTCTTCCCAGCCCATTCTGAAACCACAGACCACCACAGTGGTCCCTTAGCCTCCAGATCCATCTTTCTGACCCTTCCCTTACTATTCCCCATCTCAGCGGCTGCTTCTGAAGCCTTTTTACTCCACCCAGACCACCCCCTTTTCTGGGGCTCCATGATTTTCAAGGATTGAGATTGAAGGGGAAAGATCAGATCTCCCCTAGTTCCTTCTTTGTAGGCTGGAGGACTCTTGGCGGGAAAGTGGGAAGGAGGGCAGGAGGGCCTGACATCCATAGGGACCCTGAGATTCAAAGACAGTGGAAGGAATTTAAATAGTGAGGTGTATATCCTTCACTCAGCTTTTCTGAATATTACCATCTAACATCATCATGATATATTATCATCTAACATCATCATGATATATTACCATCTAACATCATCATGATACAATGATCAAAACTAGGAAATGGCCCTAACTGGAGCGTCCACCTGCGGACTGAAGGGTACCAGGTTCGATTCTTGTAAAGGGCATGTACCTTGGTTGCGGGCACATCCCCAGTGGGGGGCATGCAAGAGGCAGCTGATCGATGACTCTCTCTCATCGATGTTTCTAACTCTCTGTCTCCCTTCCTCTCTGTAAAAAATCAATAAAATATATATATTTTTTAAAAAAAGAATAATAAAGAGCATCCAAATATCCACTACCCAGCTTAGGAAATTGAGCATCATATACTTAGAGACTCCCTAGTTTCTTCTAACCAATTGCATATAGCTCCTTCTTTTGGAATAATTGCTATCCTGAAGTTTGTATCAATAAGTATTTTGAGCCGAATCCGGTTTGGCTCAGTGGATAGAGAGTCAGCCTGCAGACTGAAGGGTCCCGGGTTCGATTCCGGTCAAGGGCATGCATATTGGTTGTGGGCACATCCCCAGTAGGGGGCGTGCAGGAGGCAGCTGATTGATGACTCTCATCAATGTTTCTAGCTCTCTATTCCTCTCCCTTCCTCTCTGTAAAAAATCAATAAAATATATTTAAAAAAATCTTACATTAAAAAAAATAAGTATTTTGATTTTCTTTATGGTATTATCATACACCTGTGGAATATTAATTGAAAATATTGATTGGATTAGCCTTTAAAAGTCATATAAATGGAGTTGTACTGTATATATTCTGCTGTGAGCCAATTCTTATCCTCATTGTTACCCTATTTCTTGATTTTTAGATATGATCATGTTCCACCATCTCCTACCAATACCAAAATTCTCTCCATTACTGTCTTATTTTTTTATACAAAATGTCCAGAAAATAACACTAGTTGTTACCATCTCTTGCTTCTCATGTTACTCCATATATTGATATAGGACCCAATATTGAAGGTACCTCCTTCCCATTGTTAGTAATCACTTCCAATACTTCTATGAGCACTTTGTCAAATCTCCCCAGTTCTGGGACCCTTCTCCCTTCCCTTTTCTCACATAGCTGCAGTGTCCGGTATAAAGGTGGGCAGTTCTCCAGCATCTCTGATTACTGGAGTTGGGGATGAGCCCACTAGCATGCCATCTGGTTCTCCTAATTCTATCACCAGAGGGACCATCTCCATTAGCTTTATTTAACAAACACATAAAGACCCATCAGGGGTTTGATTCTGTCTGCTGATGTCATTGATGGATTTTTTCCCCCTTAAATATATTTTTATTGATTTCAGAGAGAAAGAAAGAGGGGGAGAGAGAGAGAGAAACATTCTATGTAATAAAAGGCTAACATGCAAATCTATTGAACTGCAGAACAACTGGTTGCTATGACATGCACTTACCACCAGAGGCAGACCCCTGGTGGTCGGTGTGCTCCCACAGGGGGAACGCCACTTAGCCAGAAGCCCTTAACTGGGCTCACAACTGGTGGGCTGGCAAGCACAACGGCAGTGGTGGGAGTCTCTCCCACCTCTGTGACAGTGTTAAGAATGTTCGACTGCCGGCTTAGGCCCGCTCCTCACGGGGAGTGGGCTTAAGCCTTTAGTAGAACAACCCCTGAGGGCTCTTGTACTGCAAGGGTGCAGGCTTGGCTGAGGGCACCCTCCTGCCCCCGAATTCATGAATTTCATGCACCAAGTCTATAGTCAAAGATGAAAAAGAATCATTGATCAGCTGCCTCTTGTGTGCTCCCTAATGGGGATTAAGCCCACAACTCAGGCATGTGCCCTGACCGGAAATGGAACTGTGATCTCCTGGTTCATAGATTAATGCTCAACCACTGAGCCACACTGGCTGCGCATTGATGGATTTTGATTAGCATAAACCATAACCACTGCCAGCTGTGGTAGGTTTTGTTATTGCTTAACATGTTTACTTTCCTTCTCTCCAGTAGATTATACCTTCTCTCCCCACTGATATTAAGCTTGGCATCAGACCTGCGGTGCCTCTCCTTGAAGTGTTTTATATCCCTTCTTGTCAAACTCAGGTGCAACCATGTGACTTGCTTTGGATAGCAAAACATGGATGGGAGGGACGCACGTTATCTCTGGAAAGCAGCTTAAACAGCCAGCTTGAGGTTTTGCCAACTATCATTTCCTGCTATCATGAAACTGATAATGTCCCAGCTAGAGGCTGCTTCATCAACCTGAGTACTCAAATAAAGATGAAATAGAGGACAGCACAGACGTTGAAATGAGCAAGTACTATAAGTGAGAAATAATCCTTTGTATTATAAGCCACTGAGCTTTAAGATTGTTGATTATCTCAGCATAACATAATATCTCCTGACTGACATACCAACACCACTATCACTGGTTTCCACTTGCCTTACACACAGTTACTCATCTGTCATCATGCAAAACAATATTGCCCAATCCCACCAACCATAACTTCAGAGACAACTCTGGTCAGCCTGTCGACTCCCACCCCCTCACACCTTCAACTGCATCCACAATTTAGATCATGACAGTGGAGAGGGTGGTGAGGATACTGGCCTAAAATTCCCAACCACCCCTGACTCTCTCCATAGTCCTTGACATTTCAAGGGTGGTCCCAGACTGTACTTCCCTGGATTCACAGTTTTCCCAGTGACAACGATGAGACCTGGGAGAAAGCCCATGGCCCTCACTGTTCTCCGGGAACCCCTCTGTAATGTTACCTCGCCTGTGGAGTAAGGTGCTATGAAGAGGCCCAGTGGTGGACGTAACTAATGATTGGGCTAACCTCAACATCTTTAGCCTCCAGTCTTCCCACCTCTGCCCATGTCTCCTCACCAGGAGCCCTTTTGTCCCTCTCAAACTTTGGTTGGGACCATTTATTTTAATGCTTTAATGCTTCGCAAACAGATAAAATGTTTATTTTTGGAGCCACATCTGGGTCTTGGTGTATGTAAATACCCACATCCCACGTGGTTCTGAAACATCCATCTTGTATGAAAATTGCTGTTTGAAATTTTAACCCTGTTATTTGGCTTCTGTGGATTTAACCTTCCCCAGACAAGGTCATCAGTGCTGGTGCCAGGCCAGGCCTCTGGTTGAGGTCTCAAGGCCTCAGTACACACTGGCTCTTTAAGAACTTGCAAAACGGGGCTGGAAACACTCCATATTTGGGAGACAAAGAGGGTAGGATTATATAAATAGGGAGAATTCCTGCATATTGGGGCCCAGAATTTGAGATACATTTTTCTCTGGGCCGGCGTGTAATAAATGTAACTCCATCTCTGTAAGTATTGTTCTTCTTTGGTTTTTGTAACAGTTCAGGGTTCAGGATCTGGAGAAGGGGCTGCACGCAAATGAAAGAGATGAGACAAGAAATAATAATTTGGAAATATTGGGGGCCAGGAGGGCAAGCCCAATGCAAGAGAAAGGACTTCCACTGGTGCCCAGGCCTCACCAACCTTTTATTCAATTTTGAATACACATCTAGCCTTTAGGCAAGTAATTGTAACAGACAAGACTACCCTAAAGGTCAGTAAATATTAGAAAGGTTTACTCTGAGTATATTTGGTCAGGAAATTGCTTGAGCCCCCCCATTGTCTGGACTAAACAATAGGTGCACAGCACTGGCCCTTGCCAGGGGCTCAAGGTCACCAGCATTCTGGGATCCTTGTTTACACTTCTCTGACAGTGAAGACAATGGTTGGCTTCCTGCAGTTGTATGTGGACAGCCTAGAGGAAAGTAAGGCTGGACCCCATCATGAGGGTGGGTGGGGTTTTCTTGGACAGCAGCAAGAAGACTACAGCAGTCTTATCTTGTTTTTAAAATCCCCACGCGAGGATATTTTTCCATTGAGTTTTAGACAGAGTGGAAGACAGAGAGGGAAAGACAGAGAGAAATATTGATCTGAGATGTGAGAGAAACATTTCGATTGGTTGCCTCCTGTACACACCCTCACCAGAGCCTGGGCCCGGGTAGGAGCCTGCAACTGAGGCACATGCCCTTGACCAGAATCGAACCTGGGACTCTTCAGTCCTCAGGCTGACACTCTTATACACTGAGTCAAATCAGCTAGGCACAGCAGTCTTCTTGACCATCTCCTTCCTAAACTAGATGAGGGTTTCCCTGGAAACTGACCTAGCTGAGAATGCAAAGATATAACCTTTCTCTCCCCCTTCTAAGCAGGCATTCAAATAACTGTAATCCCTCCCACTAAATGATAATTAAGAGCCATGGGAGAGCTATTGGTAGTAAGCGCCATTAAATTTCAGGAGCGGGCAAGGTCACTTCCTGATCATACATGGCTTCCTGGTGGGAGGAGATAAAGGAGAAAAACAGTAAATGATGGGTAGGAGTTTCATATAATAGATAGAAAGAGAAAGGGATATCAGAAGGCATTCCTGGCGTAGGAAATAGCTCAGGCAAAGGCCAGGAAGTACGAAAGCCTTAGATGCTTGCTGGTTGGAGCAGAAGGAAGTTTGAGAAGCAGAGGGAAATAAAGTTGAAAGGATGGATGGGAAGGAATCAGGGAGCCTGAAGTTGGATCAGGATCCATCTTCCCAGGAGCCTGGTGTCCCTTACAACAGGGGTCCATTCATGTCTGTGTCCTCAACACAGTAGCTCAAATTTAGTGCTTTGTTTACATCTCAGTCAGCCCAAGTGCTTGACCACATAGCCCTAGTCCCACAGAAACTTCTGAAAAACAACAAAACTTTCCAAAAACGAGTATTTTAATGCTTTGCAAACTGATAAAATCTGTTAACAAATCAAAATGGAGGACCCCCAAGAATGGCCTGGCTCTCTGTCAGCTCCCTCCTTGGGCTGCATCTGTGGTATTGCTGTCTAGCTCTGAGCTCCACCTCATCTAGATACCTTGTTTTATTTTTTAAAAAATTCTATTGATTTCAGAGAGGTAGGGAAAGGGAGAGAGAGATGGAAACATCAATGATGAGAGAGATCATCAATCGGCTGCCTCCTGCATGCTCCCTACTGGGAATTGAGCCTGCAACCCAGGCATGGGCCCTAACCAGGAATCCAGCCGTGATCTTCTGGTTCATGGGCCGATGCTCAACCACTGAGCCACACTGGCCAGGCTGTTTATTGTGTTTTATTTATTTGTTATTGTAGGCTGCCTCTGTTTCATGGATCAGCATGAGGTCTAAAGTCTTCCGAGGCATTTTTTAATCCTTTCCCTGGACTTGCACAGTCACTTTCTAATTTTTCCCATGAATGCAATTGTTTTTGAATGTCCTAGTCTTTAATGTCTGACTCCTAAAAGCGGGAAAGCAAAAAATAAAGGGGGGAGGAAAGGGCACAGCAAGGGGGAGGGGCTTGCAAGAAGCCGAAGAGATGCAACAACAATGGCTGTCTGCCTCTTCCCACACCTTTGTGATCAGAAACAGCAGTTAGTGATTAGAATACGGATCTAAGATATTTGGAATACATGGTCCTCTTGGGCTACCCTAGCTCCCATAAGCTGTTCCAGGAACACATGCACAGCTGCCTGCCATGTGGCTGAGAGTGGGTAGCTGCTACCGTGCTAAAAGCTGAAACTGACCAAAATTAACTAATTCTGTTCAGGTCTTCCCCTGGAAGCTGCAAGCTTTTGACAGACTCTAGAATTCCAGAACAATTATATCAGACAGATTCTGCCAGTGCAATTGTCAAGATGAGGAGATGAATTCCTTGTGTGACCTATCCCACCATCTTCTTAAAATCCTCCTCTAAATCATTTTTTAAATTGTCCCCAAACACATAATATAGCCTCCAAGTTGTTAAAGGAAAATAAAGTCAGACATAGTTAAAGTGGTAAGGACAGATTTTGAATCAGTAATTACTATTTCAAGAGGGAAAAGAGTCCAGCATGAACTGAACTCTTTACACAGAAGTAACTGGGCATTTTAAATGGAGGGTGAGGGAACAGAGAGGTAGGCAAGCAGGGGCTCAGTAGAGTTGGGAAAGTGAAAAATTAAAAGGGGAAAGTGGGAGTTGGTCCAGGTGAAACTCGTCTGTGTTTGCTAAGTGATGTTTATCAAACTCGGACTCCTATTCTCTCCATAGCCTGGGCCCTATCATCAGATGTTGGCTGGAACAGTTAGTTATTGTGACAGCCGTAAGTTTTCTTAGGCAGGTACTTTAAAGAGAGCTGGGGCTATCCTAGGGCTGGGGCTATCCTAGGGATGTCACCTTGAGCTGTTAGAAACTATGCTAGTGTTTGTTCAAGTCTTTATAGGCAAAGTTTGAGTGTTAATTGAGAAAAAGGCTTTGGAGGATCCTGGCTAGAGTTTGTTCAAGGATAGAATCTTTGTCAAAATAAAAGCTACAATACAGTAGAGCCTCAGTTCCCTATTATTCCCAAAGTTAGCTCCTTCATGCTTCTCTGAGCAAACTTTACCCATTACTAAGGTAGGTGAGCCTTTTCCAAATTTTGAATGCATTTACACACATATACACACACAGATGGGTATGTATGTATGTATTGATAGAAAAATATTTGTGTATTTTAACAAAATGGATGCACTGGTTTCACTGAACAAGACATCCAAAAGTCTTTCCATGATGGTAGCATTCTTTTTGATTTGATGGTGTGACGGTTCTCAGTCATTTTAGTTTCCCACTGAGGGTTATCTGGGTTGTTTCCACTTTCTATTGGAATTGCATTAAAAATCCTCATCAATGCCTCCTTGAAGTGTTTCTTGAACACAGAGATGGACTGGTAGTGTGCAGTTAAAATTTTATTAGATGCAGCAAATTGCCTTTTTAAAGCAGCACAACCCACTTACTTCCCCACCAACTTAGTAAGGGTTCTTCACACCTTTCCTCACAGTGATTGGAATCTAACTTCCCGATAGTTGCTAATAGTTCTTTTTTTTCTGCTGGCGGTCTGTATTTCTTTTTTTGGGGGGACCCACCCAAATTTTCAGATAGTAAAGTGAATTCTAGTTGGATTCTGGATGCTCCCATGTCTTTGGCTGTGGGGTCATAGCTCTAGAGTCCTGCTAATAGCAGGATGTAGAGAGGGAGGGTGAGTGGCAGCGGGAATGAAGGAGAGTGAGGTTCCGCCTTTGTCCTCTGCAGCTGGAATGGAAACTAAGGAGAGGCTGTGAGAGCCAGCCCCCCAGTCCAGAGTCCAAAGTCTCGGTCAAGTGTTTTCTCCATCCAGTTTTGCTAATTCTTAGTGCAGGAGAGGAGAAAGACCGTGTCCTAGGAACGTCTGAGTGGGCCAGCCAGGTGGAGGTGGAGGGAGGGTGTTGGGCCACCAGCAGCTCTCCCTGTCGGACATTTCCTGGGCTTGTCTTATCTTTTCTGTGTCCCTACCCACAATTTTGAAGTCAAATATGGAGAGAAGAGAGAGGTGGGGCAGTGCAAATGTGAAGGAAGAGACTATATGCTCAGCCCACACACTCAGCAGGGCAGATAACCACGACTTCCAATTCAAACTGGGTGCTGCTGTGCACTGTGGCTGC